TTCAAGAAAGGCGACAACGCTCTCTTGAAGAACTACAAACCGAATTCGCTTCAGAGCCGCGTCTACGTGCTGTTTTCGAGAGTCGAAAGCTTTTGCTGTTGCACGTATGGGCCGGCTCGAGCCGGGTTGGTACCACGACCTCACAGAATACCGGCGTGAAGTGGAAGCTCTGCTTCCGCGTTTCGTCTGGTGAGTGCAGGTGACCGGAGGGCCAATTCCCCCCCCCCCCCCATCAACATGGTAGCGGAATTACATCATAAACAACCCCAGGAGGGTCCCAGTACCCCTGGAGAATCTCTCGCTGAGCATCCACGGCCATGCTATTCCACTCCTGAGCGTGGGTGCTCAGGTTGCCCCGCGTATTCTGGTGGGGGGAGGGGGGGGGGCAAAATTCCGCTCAACACAATAACTGCTCGGGGCAAACTGAGCAACAAGACCAAGGCGACCCCTGCCACGCTATCCGTGAATTTCTGCAACATCAGGGGACTTCACTCGAACCTAAACACCGTCCACTACCATCTCGAGACGGCGAAGCCGGCCTTGCTCTTTCTAACCGAGACGCAGGTGTCCTCTCCGGCTGATACTTCGTATCTCTCCTACCCGGGGTACAAATTGGAGCACTCCTTTGTGCCTCGGGCTGGAGTTTGAGTGTATGTCAGAGAGAACATCTGTTCTCGACGCCTCGGCAGTCTTGAAGGTTCGGACCTGTCCATCCTTTGGCTACGCGTAGACAGCGACGACCATCCGCGCGTCTACGTGTGCCTCTATAGGTCCCATAGCGGTAATGCCGAAACAGACCGACTCATCGACCACGTCCAAATGGCTACAGATTCCTTGCTACAACAGGTCCCATCCGCAGAGATCGTGATCCTTGGCGATTTTAACGCCCACCACGCCGAATGGCTCGGTTCACGTTTAACCGATTATGCGGGGAGATCTGTTTATGACTTTGCCTTGACATATGGTCTGACACAACTGGTTACATCGCCTACGCGGATTCCAGATGTTGAGGATCATACACCTTCCCTATTGGACCTTCTGCTGACCTCTCATCCGGACGGATATCAGGTTTCCGTCGATGTCTCTCTTGGCTCTTCGGGCCATTGTCTGATCCGGAGTGTGGTGCCACTCACGCTCCCCTCGCGGTTGCGTTCTGCAGGTTGCCGCCGTGTTTGGCATTACAGGTCGGCGCATTGGGACGGAATGCGGTCTTTCTTTGCTTCCTACCCATGGAGGCGGGTTTGCTTCTCGCCGGATGATCCCAGCGCTGTTGCTGACTCTGTCACTGATGTGATGCTACAGGGAATGCTACTATTTATTCCATCATCTGTGGTACCCATCGGAGGCAGATCTCAGCCTTGGTTTGGTCGCTCCTGAAAGACTGCTTTATGCAGTAAGCAGGAGTGTTATCAAGCCTGGGCTGCGGCTTCGGCGACTCGGGATGTAAACACCAGCATACTTAAAAAGAAGTATAACTTCGCCTCCAGGTCCTTCAAAAGAGTTATTTCCAAGGCAAAGTCAGAGCACATAGGCAGAATTGGCGACAAACTAGTTCGCCTTCCTTCGGGAACCCGTGCATTCTGGTCTCTCCCCAAGGCTGTAACTTCGCCTCCAGGTCCTTCAAAAGAGTTATTGCCAAGGCAAAGTCAGAGCACATAGGCAGAATTGGCGAGAAACTAGTTCGCCTTCCTTCGGGAACCCGTGCATTCTAGTCTCTCCTCAAGGCTGTCCAAGGAAATTTCTGTAAGCCATCACTACCATCTCTGCACAGGGAGGATGACTCACTGGCACACACCGCAAAAGAGAAAGCCGACCATTTAGGCTCCCTTTTTGCGTCTAACTCGACTCTTGATGACGGGGGGAACACACCGCCGACCATCCCGCAGTGTGGGTGCTCTATGCCTGATGTGCGGTTCACACAGTGCTCAGTACGCAAAGCACTCCTCTCCCTGGACATCCACAAGTCGAGTGGGCCTGACGGAATCCCGCCTATTGTGCTAAGGACGTGCGCTCCAGAGTTGGCACCGGTTTTAACGCATCTTTTTCGGTACTCCTACTCCCTAGGTGTTGTCCCGAATTCATGGAAGACAGCTTTCGTGCACCCGATCCCTAAAAAACGTAACCGCTCTGATCCGTCCAATTACAGGCCTATCGCCATCACCTCCTTGTTCTCGAAAATAATGGAGTTCATTATTAACTGCCAAGTCATGCGGTATCTTGAGGAGCACCAGCTGATTAGTGACCACCAATACGACTTCCGTCAGGATCGCTCAGCTGATGATCTTGTTTACCTAACGCATAGATGGGCGCAGGTAATCGAGTCCAAGGGGGACGCATTGGCCGTTAGTTTGGACATTGCGAAGGCCTTCGATCGGGTTTGGCATAAAGCGCTTCTTTCGAAGCTCCCTTCCTATGGGCTTCCCGAGAAATTATGCAATTGGATCACCAGCTTTCTTGCAGATCCGAGTATCAAGGTTGTTGTAGACGGTGCATGCTCCGACTACAAGCCTATTAACGCTGGTGTTCCACAAGGCTGCGTGCTATCACCAACGCTATTTCTTCTGCATATCAATGATATGTTGCAAGCCGGTAGCACTAATTGCTATGCGGATGACAGCACTGGTGATGCTCTATACACCGGCCGTGCCAATATTTTTCAGGAAAACGTCACCGAGTACCGGAACAAACTTGTGTCTGAAGTCGAGTCTTTGCTGGACAAAGTCTCGGATTGAGGGCGACTAAATCTAGTCCAGTTTAATCCTCAACTCAAAGACACAAGTTTGCGCGTTTACCGCTAAAAAGAACCCCCCTTGTTGTTGAACCCTTTCAAGGTACTCCCCTTGTTGCCTCAGCCAGTATCGGAATCCTCGGCGTCGACATATCGAGTGACGTGCAGTTTCGTGGTCACTTGTAAGAGAAGGCCATATTGGCCTCTAAAAAGCTTGGCGTGCTCAGCATAGCTGGACAGTATTTCATGCCAGCTCAACGCCTGCAACTTTACAAGGCGCAGGTTCGGCCTCACATGGAATACTGTTCCCATCTCTGGGCTGGGGCTCCCCAGTGCCAGCTCCTTCCACTTGACCGCATCCAGCGCAGAGCGGCTCGAATCGTCGACGACCGAGTCCTTTCCGATCGGCTCGACTCATTGGCACTGCGAAGAGATGTTGCATCTCTTTGCATTTTCTTTCGCATTTACTATGGGGAGTGCTCTGAGGAATTGTTCGGATTAATCCCAGCCGCCAAATTTCATGAACGCAAATCGCGGCAGAACTCCGGATACCATCCACACCATCTGGATGATTGGCGGTCCACCACTGTGCGATTTAGAAGATGTTTTCTACCTCGCACAACTTCCTTGTGGAATAGTTTACCACCAGCGATTTTTCCGGACCGATACGACTTAGGGACCTTCAAGAAAAGAGCCTACTCATTTTTGAAAGGCCGGCAATGCATCTGCAATTCCCCTGGTATTGCGGTTGTTCATGGGCGGCGGTAGTCACTTACCATCAGGTGAGCCGCATGCTCGTTTGGACTTAGCTTTCCATTGACGTCAGTCGAGTTTGGTGTTGATACGTATTTTTACAGAAAAGTTACACTATTATAAGCACACACACAGTTTCAACTAGCGGAAACGCGTAATTTTTGAGAAAAGAATTATTGAAAACCAATTATTCATGCAATGTTTATGTCTAATCCTACCATAAAACTGGCGCCATTTTGTAATGTCATTGTCGACGTCAATAGGGATGTCGATTCTTTCCGAAAAAGGTCGATTTTTAAATCGATTCTAATCGTAAGCTGATGTATCGGTTCACAAAAAATCGATTTCTAAAATATCTATATTTTTTTAATGTTTCTATTTATAATGTAAATATAAACCCATTTTATGAAAAACAAGAAAGATACCATGATAAATGATCTCTTATTGAAATTTGTTTTATTTAACAGTACCTATTAGGGCAGATAACAAATAAAATAGGTTAGGTTCAACTTATGTCAAAGAACCGAATTGATTGACCCAGACTCCACCTGGTACGAGTCTGTCCTACCCCTAGAGTGGTTTTATAGAGCCGGAGGCGCGTAGGGGGAGCAGCCTCCGCCTCCGCAGCTTCGGCTTGTTGGTCGCCTTCGGCGACCAGCCTCAGCCGCTCCGGCTCGTCCGATGCCTACGATTTGTTACGCTAAGGCGTAGAAGCTGCTCTTCCCGCAGCGCCGGAGACGTAGCAGTCTCAAAATAGATACAGAAATCCTTCTGAATCTATTATTTTTTTATGATGAATGGGATTTTTTTCTCATAAAATGGATTTTATGAGAAAAAAATCCCATTCATCATAAAAAAATTTTACATTATAAATGCAAACATGAAAAAAATATCGATATTTTAGAAATCGATTTTATGGGAATCGATACATCAGCTTACAATTCGAATCTATTTAAAAAATCGATCTTTTTCGGAAAGAATCGACATCCCTACTGACAATAATAATAAAAATGGCGTCAGTTTCACGGTAGGAATTGACTAAATATTGCAAAATTATTTGATTTACAATATTTTTTTCTCAATAAGTACGTGTTTCCGCATATTGAAACTTTGTATGTGTGCTTATAAAAATGTAATCTTTCTGTAAAAATACGTATCAACACCAAACTCCACTGACGTCAATGGAAAGTCGTAAGCTCGTTTGCCCCCTATCCTATAAAAAAAAAATTATGACGGATATCCTACAGAAGACAATACTTTAATCACAAACCTGCATGCCAAGTATGCTAATTTTGGCCTCATCCTTTCTTATGGGACAGGTTTATATCCGGCCCTAGACTTAAAAGATACAATAGATAAGCTAGTAAAGTGTTTATATGTAACATTAAAAAACTATTCATTTGAATATATTCATAAAATGTACTACTATCAAAATTTTATTGTATAATATAATATATAATTTTTAACTTTAATGTTTAATAATAGCTTAAATTTAAAAATATGACTAAATATTTTTTACCTGTGTTCAGCTCTTCGGTAATATTTTTTTGACAACTTAGAATTTTCTTGTGTTACCAAATCTTTTTTAGAAATCTCCATTTTGCTGTGAGTTTGTCTTATAGACTTAATTTGATAACTTAAGCTTAAACAGTTCCTTCTTTGGTTTCTTCGAAGTCTTATAATTATTCTCAAAATTTTATACATGCACCTGAAATATCAAACCAGTAGTAACATTTCTTTGATATAAAAACACTCTCAGAACTGAGAGGTGCAGCTGTGAGAGATATATAGACTGTAGCTATTACGAATGGGTCGTCTTAAGAGATGAAGGACCACGCTCGCACAGAATTTCAGGGCAAAATAGCATCTTAATTCTGTTCTCTTAAGGTGAGTGTAGAGAAACAGAGACTTATTGATTTCACGGTCGTCGGGTGACAAAGAATCTGCATTTTGATTCTCAACCAATGATAGATAATATTGTTGGTGTATATAGGCTATAGTATCACCTCACTGTAAGGTGGTATTTAAACGTATTTAGTTTTGTTACAAACAAAATATGTTTAGAGTAAATATCACAAGCATTTGAAGGAAAATTATTTTGTTTAATTAATTTATGGAAATGTTGTAGAAAAAAAAACATAACATGCGTAACTATTTTATAGTACGATAAGATTCATTTAAATAACATAAAAGTTACATATAATAAGCTATAAATAATCTTACCAACGCAGCTGCAGTAGTCTGTACTCTGCAGACTACTTTTTATTTCTATAATCAAATAGAATATACGCTTAGTAATCACTACATCAGTATATTACACACACACTCTCTAAATGCCTTCTTAGTTATTAGTATCTCTGCTCTAACGAAAGACCATGGAAAACATCACTAGGAGCCTATTTATTGTTTATTGAAATTTGAAACCTAGATAAACAGATATGTAGCAAGCTAATTTGAAACTATCGTAGTCAATCCGTGACCATGAGTCGTAGATCACAGATCAGATGAGTTTTTTCTATATTATATAGTTTGTTAGTTTGTGACTTTGTGATCACAGACAAGGAAAAGGAATTGAAATGAAGCGTAGGTATATACTAGAATCTAGAACAGAATGAACAGATCTAGACACTAGGTATTAAACGAGACTAGGTTGCACCTGTTCCAGCTTTTAAAATACTTGATCCACCTAGTCTCACTGTGCCTACGTGTCGCACGGCACAACGCGGCAGCCCGCTCGAATCGAGGAAGGAGAAGCAAAGAGTATAGTAATATAGGAAGAGTAGAAGTACCGGCGAGGCAAAGCGAGATAGCATTTTGTTGCCATAGTTACTAGTCTCCTTTGCCGGTCACTCGTGTTTGCCTAAATCATTCGTGGGTCAATCATTTAAATTTGAACTTTATTTCAATGTAAATGAAAGTGACACGATGCGCACTCGTGTTGTGCAAGAATATATTCTGTCCTTTTTTTAACTACACTATTAGACGGAATACGGAAAAGTGTATTACAAAGATATTTGTCAATATTCGAAACTAGTCGGGGCTAGGCCCGGGGACTTCAACCAAATACTAGGCAGATTTTATAGACTAGGTACTAGTAAATACTCGATGCGAATGGAAACCATATTATGATGAAGTCGAGTGTCTAGTACGGAATGTGATATCAGCACTGTTATGAATGATACCTACTTGACTTATTTAGTAATACGTTTTCGTAACGAAGTTTTGTTATATGGTTAAAGAACTTTCACTTTTTTAATTAGACATTAAAGTGTTTATTGTTTAACTTTAACTTAACACATAACACATACTTAAGAATCATTTTACAAACAAATGCAAAGAAATGTTTGAGTGTAACATTTGTAAAATATAATTTAGTTTTAAAAACTCTTACGACTAATTTTTCACGCGTATGTAAAAAACAATAATTGTAGATGTACGTAAAGACTAAGCGTACTTTAAAATGTATACTATTTCAACAACACCAAACTATGCGTACTTCATGGACTAGGTGGAGCAGGTATTTGGATCGAGTATTTGTACGGAATTGGACTAAGTGTACCTAGTACATAATTTACCTAGTACGACTCATCTCTAAAAAGGAACATACAGACGCATACAGATCACAGACATGGAAAAGGAACATTGTACTATAAAAACCTTATACCCTATTTAGACTCTCGCCTCGCCTCGTACCTCACCTCGCAGCTCGCGTGTTATTGCGGGGTAACGAGTGCCTGTTTACACTATACAGTATACACTCTCGCGATGCGTTCAGTTTGCGTTGAACCAGCAACGATGGAAGACGTCGAAATAATAGCGACATCAACTCTTGCTTTAATAAATATTTATCGATGCTTGACCAGTTTCAAAAGAAGGAAATTAAAAAATTTCAAAGATTTCATAGATTGCTTTTTTCTTCGTAGGTGTTGACGAAAGTTAGCCATAAGCGAATTCTTTTTTACTTTGAGCTCTGCTAGCGGTCTGCATATAACCTCGGAAATTCTATACCACGCATCATTTACTTTTTGGGTATTTTTATGCATAATGTGTTTTTGATCCCAAATTATTCGCTCAGCCTGATAGAGTTCCAAGAATTGCAGCGTTTCTTCTTGCGACCAATCCATTTTTAATTGAAGTCGAGCGTGTAAACCCAACAAAACAACACAACCTGCACGGAAGGGCGCCGTAAATAAACTGAAACGAGAGCGCGAGTGTAAACACCACGCTCGCGTCCCTCGCGAGGCCCTTTCCCTCGTGCCCAAAAAACCGCCTCCGACGCGAGCGCCGCGAGTGGCGAGGCGAGCCACGAGCTAGCGTTTACACAGTGTAAATGTAAATTAAACACAATATTAATAACATAATATAACACAATGTAAATTACACTCGCGCCTCATGGCTCGCCTCGCAACTCGCCTCGTCGCTCGCGCGAGAGTGTAAATTTCCTGTATAGGACAGTTATTATACTCTTTGGTGTAAATGGTGTATTATACCTGTGCATACTACTCTGTACTCTCTGGCGAGAATTTTTTTTATAACTAGCTTTGCGGCTCTGGGTTGTAGCCCTTCTGAGATTGAAGTTACAATGTACAATTAAACTTCATAGTACACTGCTTCACTATATGTTGATGCGTCATATATATATATACTAGCTGCTCAGGCAGACGTTGTTCTACCCTCTCCAACGACCCTGTGTCCTATAAGAATTATGAAATTCGTAATAAAAAATATTGAGGGTCACTTACAGGGATAAAAATTATCCTATCTCTCAAGTTGGACCAAACTGCACACAGTGTGCAAAGTTTCATTGCAATCAGTTTAGTAGTTTAGGAGTTCATCGCTGACAAACAGTGTGACACGTAATTTTTATATATAAAGATATTACATCTCATAGTATAAATATTTTTTCGATCGACCGAGCAATATTTTCATATTATATTTCACCCCCTGTACCCCGCACATCGTTTCGCGCCGCCGCAGAACGGTGTGCTGGGTACAGGGGGTAATCCTATGACGAACGCACACTGGTAAAACCATATACTCAAAGTGTAAAAGCCGATCATGGGATATAATTTATATCTCGGGATATAATATATATTATATCCCATAGTGAAAAGCGAGCTTTAGACGGCAACTTGAGCCAGCAGACAGCTGACAGTTGGCGATGGTATCGCAAGGAGCCTAAGCAGACAGACACCTTTTCTTCAGAATTACATCACCATCAGAGCACTTGTTTCACTGTTTCCAGTAATAGTTCACATGCGCAAACACTTAATACACATAATCGCACCACTTTTACATATCAAAATCCACTTCAAGCCATTATTTGAACAATAATACAAGAGCAGTTATACTCCACCGTTCAAGTTCCCGCCAAAACTCTCTGGCGGGAGAATATAATATGATGCTCACGCAGATGATCGTAGAATGGATATATAGGAGTGGAAACGGAGAAACCAGCATCATAGAGTACTTTGGAGATACCTACTTCCAGCTTCGAAGTATATAAAAAGTACTCTGTGACCAAGAATTACTACTATACATATATTTAGCATCAAAATATGACATTTCATTGACAAATGACAAAAATGCTGACAAAATATATCGAATTAAAGAGAATAATAATAATATGCATGGCCGTTTCTCTGTCTACGACCTAGCTACTAGTAGCTATCTATTTATTTATCTATGGTTAAATCAAGTAAAATGTCATGTCTTGGTGTCGCTTGATGTTTGTAGGATAGCATAATACTCTTTCATAAATTTATTTTTACTAGCATGTTAAACGTTAAATCAAGCTATACTCTTTGAATAAGTTACTAACAGTTTGAAGTAGATTTTGCTAAGAAACCGATTAAATTTTTTTATCCGCTAAGGCGCCTTAATATAGGATCGTTATTAACTGTCCGTTGAATTAAAAGCTATCGTTAAGCCTCCCAAAAATTATACAATATGATGAATATTGTGAACATACTTATTTTACCGTTATTTTTTACTAAAGTCCAGTCGCGGAGCATGAAGAATTTCGTACAATGACCTCTTTACCTACTGACAGTGGTCACAAACATTTTTGTATTTAGTGCGGCTTACATGAAATATTTGAAGGAGAAAGAAAATTTACCAACTTATGAAATATAGTTATTATTATTATATAAATTATTTATTTAGATTTTATATTACAAGTAATAAAAATCTAGACAAGTATCTACTAATACGGCAGAAAAAAAAATCAAAAATCAGTATCTGATTCCTCTGTATCGCAGTAACTGCTTTCCGAAGACGTCTCGCCTGTCACATTTATCACAAAAGAATCAACAGTTTTGTCTACATTATCATCTAGTCTAGCTAATTTCGATTCCTCTTTTTTTACGTGACTGATGCAATTTTGCCATTTTTCTGCTGAAATGTTGCTTAAAGCCTCCTGGAGCAGCTTTTTAACATCTGCCATCTTAAATGTTGTATTTTTTCGGGCCACATACCCCTTGACGTCTGCCCACACTAGTTCGATGGGATTCAATTCGCAATGGTACGGAGGTAATCTCAATACCTCCACACCAACTGCTTTTGCCAGCTCATCGACCACGTACGATTGGTACTGAATCTTAACATCTTTCACCTTTTTCAAGAGCTGGACTTTTGTTTCCTTTGCCTCAAAAGAAATTTGCTTTGATGAAAGCCATTCTTGAATATCTATTTTTTTCCAACAAGTAACTGGGATTTTTCCTGGCGTCTTGAGTGGTAGCTGGCATTATCCATGACAACCACTGCGTTTGGCTCAAGTCTCGGTAGCATTGCTTGAAACCAATGTTCGAACTTGGCTGCATTCATCGATTCGTGATAATTGCCCGTACCTTTGCATTCAAACACCATTTCTTATTCTGGCATGAATCCTTGTTCACCTCCTATATGTAAAATAATTAGCCGGTTGCCTTTGGAAGTCGGATTCTTGGCACCCGTCGACAAACCTTCCAAAAATGCTTGTTTTCGTGACTGCACTGTAGTGTCTTCCCACACCTTTCCGACAGTATGCCCTGAAAAGTAAATGAATAAACTAATCAAAGGTTTAAACAGTTAATAGCCATTTAGGCGTGTAAATGTGACAGACAGTGTTACTTTCACATTCATAATTTTAGTATAGATTTAAGTCAGTTAGAAAATAATAAAAATAAGTCTTACCCGCATTCACCCAAGTTTCATCCAAGTAATATATTGGTCGTTGTTGCTGTCGGTAAGTTTTCATATTTTTCAAATATTTGATACGCCACAATGCTATGTTATCTCTGTCGATTAACCCGTTATTTCTCCTTCGTTTGACATACTTAAACTTCAAATCTTTCAGTAATTTATTTAACGATGTCAAGCCCATGTTTGGTAAGGATTCGTCTTTATTTATGATATGTAGCACCTTTTTTGCTGTAGGTAACTCTTCTTTTAAATAAAACTATTCGTCTAATGCACGATTTATCGAACCCATCAATGTTTTCAATTAATGAGAGTCGTTTTTTCGGTGAAGCAGCTGGCTTGACGGCATCTGTGTCGGTATACTCTTTTAAGATACGATATATGGCCGATTTCGAAATAGCCAAGATATCGGCTGTTTTGTCCTTCGTATCTTTTTTTGAAGGATATTTATCAGCAGGCCAGGATTCTTTAACGTATTTAAACACGTTTATAATCATTACCTTCTCAGATACACTAAAGTGTGACATTTTTCTTTTCTTCCGCGGAGAAACAAACTCCTTAAATGGACGCGATGTAGACGGCGCTGGTTCCATTTTAAAAGAGTGAATAAAACTTAACAAATTAACAAAACCACTTAACAATTAAAACAAGATAACAAAAACTAACAAACAACAACAAACTAACGCATAAACGCATCCCAAGATGGAATGTCGTTCGTTATTTAAACATTATTAATTACGTCAAGGTCAAGCAAACCAAGGACTTTTTGTCGTGATTCAAGGCCAACCAAAACCATAATGTGGCAAACAAGAACAAACCTTATAGTCTCCAGTAAAAGGCTTACAATCCCTGAGGACGGCGGCCATTGCATCTGTGCGAGCGAGACTCATTGTATTTACGCGGGAGTGACAGAGACAGGTAATGACAGTTCAATGTACGAAATTCTTCGTGCTCCGCGATTGGACTTTAGGTAGTAGGACTCCCTTTCTGTCTACGAGTTTGTCTGTGTGGATACCATGCTATTATCTTCTCCTGCCGCCAAATAGCAGTTTTTGCACTTCTGTGTTCTGGTCTGAAGGGTAAAGTGAGCTTATATAATAAAATGGTATGATGAGGCATTCCATCTTAGTCCTCAAAGGTAAATATGATAACTCGTCGTAGCGAATATGTACCATCTTACTGTAAGTTGTTTGTCACTTTTTCAGTTTTATAAAAAAAAAGAGAAGAAATTACTCGTCAGACTAGGCTTCCTGTATAGGACAGTTACTATACTCTTTGGACTAGGCTGTATGGGCATATAACGTCTTTGCCTAAAATAAAAATACATATAATTCATATTCATAGATAAATAAATATGTAGCAAGCTATCTAATTTCTTTTTAATAATTGTAATTAAAACAAGTAAACAAGTTTATAATATTAATTAATAATTTCATAATTGTCTCATATACAACAGTTTAAAAAAATTATAAGTAAAGATGATGTAATTTTGTTGTGTTAATATTAATATTTCATTTGTAGTTTCTGATGGCTTATACAGAAAAGGTGTCCCTTAATGGCACCGCTCTCTCATTTCTATTATTTGAATGTGTTAATTCTGTAAATACTCAGGTATGTAAAACAACAAACATATTTTATATTTAATTTGAAGTGTTTCGCTTTTAATTAATTTGTATTTCTAGGAAGGATTCTTAATTGGCAACGTTACTTCTGAAATAACGAATCACATATCAGATTCTCAAAACGATAGTGCGCGATTGGACACCCAAATATTCATTAGAACGGTATTACCTCTGCCCTCAGTGGCTTTGTTTTATTTTCCAACAGGTAAAATAAAGGAGGATGTTCTGTCAGATTTGCTTTCTAACACAGCAAGTGAAATTGTTGGCTGGTATAAATATAGAAAAAACAGTAGTATTAAGCCAACTTTTAGAGATAAGTTAATATCAAAAGGATTACAAAAGTACTTTGAAAAGTACCATGGAAAAAAAAATTTTGTCACCTGCAATTTATCATGTAGAACTTCATCTGCAGGTTCAACACACACATTTACATATAGATTTGGAAAAATCAATTGCTTTGACATGTATGAATATATTGAAGATGTTACTGCTAATCTAGGTGAGAAGCTGACAGGATATAAAAAGGCTCATAAAGTATCACCACATAGCATATTCAACAAGATTGTTAATGAAAGTAATGTTCAGAGTAACAATACAAATGATGCAATTTTGCGTATACAAGAGGCTGTTGATGTCAAACTTATTAAAGAAGCTAAGCTAGCAGCCAAAACTGAGAACACTATCCGGGAACTTGAATCAGAGATAAAGCAAATGACAACTATTCTCTCTGATAAACATGTAGTAGACTTACAAGATGCATATAATAAGATAGTTGAAGAGAAATTGGTGAACAGAGAAGTTGAAATGGCTGAAGCATGTGTTGAAGCATTAAAATCTCCGCCAAGTGTAGATATATTGAGCATTCCTAACATTTTTAATAATACCAACAACCTTTCTGATAGTGAAAATTCAGTACAGTTAATAGAGAATGAAATAAAAAATAGAAGTCCAAGTCCAATTTTAACAACATCAACTTCAAACAAACAGTCAAACTTAAACTATGCAGCTGCCTTAAAAAAGAGTTCTGAAGTCGCTTCAACCAGTGTAAGTTCCACATTCAATTAGTTACTTTGGAATGCTTTTGTACAAACTTGCATTATAAAAGATGTGATGAAGTGTATGATGATGAAGCTAATAAATTTAAATCTCTTCTATTTGTTTCAGAAAACCAATGAATTTCATGATGATTTGATTAATTTTGATGTTGATGACAAGAATATTAAAAAACCTGTATTCATTACTGAAAATGTTAAATGTTTGGATGATAGTTCTCCCGAGTATTAAATAAGTGCCTTGAAACATTAATTTCCACTTTCCTAGTTACCACCAAAATAAATAAATACACTTATGTTTTCACTAGTTTTTGTAATTTATAATCATTTCTAATCTGTTGTTTAATAATGTTACTTTGTTTTATTACTTGTTTTAATAATTCTCAAAATAGTTATTTGAAGAACTCTCACATCCTGGTGCTGTTATGTGATTTGTACTAAGTATTGTATACATATGATTTCTTATAAAGTTATTGGATAAGTTGTGATACACAACTAATTAATTGTATGACTGAGAAATCATTACTATTTTTGAGATTAATAATTGTACATTGTGGCAAGTACCTACTAAATACATACAACTTTAGTTTTGAAATCTATTAGCTGCATCTTACTGAAAATGACCATGGATTCTAATTAATGTTACTGTTTGGTTCAAACTTTAAAATCTTTTACCACATTACATGTACCTCCATATTATCTGAAAAGGAACTTAAATTTCATTCTAATCAAATAGATTAATAGTCCTTAAGGCTATGTTGTACAGACTATTTTTGTAATAAATTCATCATAATATGTGTAAGAATGTCTTTTACTTATCCACTAAGGGGAATGAAAAAATGAATATCAATTATTTGAACTCAAAGAAAGAAGCATGAGAGTAAAAAAAAAAACAATTCTGTGATGCATTAGCAGTTCATAAGTAGAATGTCAGTGGTAATTATGAATGATATAGTGAAAAATAACTAAAATATAAGAGAAGTTGTTTATTAGATATTTTAACGGGTTCAGTGCGGATGGCAGGCCAGGCGTGCCATCCATTATTTTTGTGTGTGGCGTATGACTACTATGATTTGAGAAGAGGAGGAGGTCCCTCCACCACCATGGAAAAAACTACTGTACTTAGCCTAACTCAGTAGTTAGGCCTGTGCTTATCGCCATCACCTCCTTATTCTCCAAAATAATGGAATCCATTTTAAACTGTGGTACCTTGCGGACCACCAGCTGATCTGATGAGTGACCTGATTGATTAGAGCTGATCTTCATGTTTACCTGACTCATAGATGAGCGGAGGCAGTAGAGTCCATGAAGGAGGCTTTGGCCGTTACTTTGGAGATAGCAAAGGCCTTCGATCGGGTTTGGCATAAATCGCTTCTTTCGAAACTTCCTCCCTATTACTTCCCGAGAATTAAGAAAAAAATACCCACAATGCTATTAACATTACTAATTTTCCATTAAATTAAACTAATTTTTACGAATATTATCGCGTTTACTTTAACTTTTTAATTCCCGACGTTTCGGGTGCACTTTTGCCAGTCTTGATATGACAGGTCGGAAATCGCTTCTTCGTAGGCAGCCACGGCTTCTTTAGCGCTTGAAAAAAACTTTTATTTTTTCTTAGACTCTTGGAAACACAAAGAAATCACAAGGAGCTAAGTCAGGGCTGTAGGGTGGGTGACTTAGTTTAAACACCAGATTCCTCAATAAATGCTTTTTTTCTAAGGGAGGTATGTGAAGAGGCGTTATCGTGATGCAGCATGATTCCCCGAAGACCGCTCTTTGGTCTTCTCTCTAGCACAGCTTAAAAAACTTAGGGTAATGCAACTGTATTCCCCAAAGTTTTTTAATAATAAATAACCATTCAGAGTTGGCTGACCTACTACTATTTTCCAGCATTGACGTCGACAAATGTCCGCTCCGCGAAAAAAAAACTAGCCACCATTTTTTTGCCGACGTTGCGAGGTCTTTGCAGTTTTGTCGTTAACTGTCCTTATGAGTAGACCCATACCGATGATTGCCTTATTTTCCGGATCATAATAGATCTATGTTTCGTCACCAGTAACGATTTCTGGAACATGCCTAGTTGCCATAGTTTCATGGCACCAATCGACAGGAGTCTGTTTTTCGCTTTCAGAGAGCAAACGAGGGATCCATCGACATCAAAGCTTCCTCACTCCAAGATGTTGATGTAGGATGGTGTGAATGCTGCCCAAACTAATGCCTACAATCTTTTCGATGTACGTATATGTGATTCGTGGGTCTTTTCGCACCAAAATTTCAATAATCCATACATTTTCTGCCGTTACTGCTGTATGCGGGGCCCCGGTTCTTTGGTCATCGTTAAGATTAATTTTACCTCTTTTGAATTCAGCAAACCACCTAAAAATTATTGCGCGTGATGGAGCTGAGTCCCCTAATGCTGATTGTAACCGTTGTAAACTTAATTGTTCCGTTAAACCATATTTAAAATCATAATATTTTATCATAGCGCGCAAATGTTCACGGTTATGATCCATCGTTTTAAATGAAAAGCGCGGGAAGCGTTGCAGGAAAATTAATAGAACTTTGTTTTTTTTTAAATAGTTCTATTTGTAAAAAAAATTGCTTTTTAGAAACATATTAACACGGGTGCGTTCCATTCTTAAAATTCGAGCATCTCAAAACTTATTGAGTGACCAGTATTAGCCCGGCTACCTTCAGTTTTTGAATATAAATTTTTGGTCTTTTTTTTGGTCGGGAATTAAAAATTTAAATTAAACGCGATAAAATCCGTAAATATTTGTTTAATTTAATGTGTAGTCTTCGCTTAAATATAAGAAATCATTATACTAATTTTCCCTATAACCACTCCTGGTAAGCTTAAAATGCTTGTGTTAGGAGTCGTTCATGACAGTAGTCGAATGGCGGATTCGAACTCACGACCATTTGAGTTCGCGGTCCGCACCCTGCCATTAGGCTATTGTCGCTTCAAACTGTGCAATTGGATCACCAGCTTTTTTGCAGTTCGGAGCATCAAGGTCGTAGTAGACGGTGCATGCTCCGACTACAAAGATATTAATGTTGGTGTTCCTCGAGGCTAAGTGCAGTATCACTTAAATTGCTTCTTCTACATATCAATGGTATGTTGCAAACCAGTAGGCACGCCCCTTGCTGCCTCAGCCAGCATCGGAATCCTCGGCGTTGAAATATCGAATGACGTATGCAGTCTCTGGAAAGGGAAACTTAAGTTGGCTTCTGAAAAGCATGGCGTGCTCAGTAGAGCGGGACAGGATCGGCCGCACCTGGAATACTGTTCTCATCATTGGACCGGGGTACCACACCCCCAGTGCCATCTCCTTCCACTTGACTGCATCCAGCGTAGAGCTACTCGAATTAGCAACGACCGAGTTCTTTCTGATCGGCTAGATTCACTGGTGTTGCGAAAAGATGTTGCATTCCTTTGGATTTTTTATCACTGTACCACGGGGAGTGCTCAGAGGAATTGTTCGGATTAATTCCACCAACGAACATTTGGACAAATCTCACGGTATCATCCAAACCATTTGGATAATTGGCGGTCTACCACTGTGCGATTTATTAGGAGAAGAGATTTTTTCCTCGCAAGGCTTCTTTGTTGATTCGTCTACCACCGGTGATATGACTTGGGCACCTATAAGAAAAAAGCTTACTCTTTTTCACACGTAAAAGGCCGGCAAAACACATGCAATTCTCCTGATTTGGAGTTGTTCATGGCGAAAAACTATATCTATACACTTACAAATAATATAAAGCTAGTAAATATAAAAATCTAGTAACTATATTCGTGGTCTGGGCAGTCATAGGCACGACAAGCTGGAGGTCGCATCAGGCGCTGCCGCTACTCCTGTTAATATTGCGTGTAGGCGTTACTTCACTCTAGTGTTGCCCAAATGCAAGAACAAGACGAGACTCAGCAAGTCTTGGTCTTGGTCTTGCGCCAATACACCTGGTCTTGGTCTTGGTATTGCGCTCCCAGTCTTGGTCTTGGTCTTGGTCTTGCAGCAAGAGTCTCGCAAGTCTCGCAATGACCTATTAGCCTATTACTATTTATTAAACGTTACTTTAGATGTTAGAACAACTTAACAGAGTAGGTACATATTGAGCTTGAATTAACATAGCCATAGTAAAGACCAACCATATTAATAAATGTCTAAACATTTAATGAGAAATTCGAAAAATCAACTGACACCGGGTGGGGTTAGAACCCACGACCTAAGCGATCCGTGCCGATGCTCTAACCAACTGAGCTATCTACCGTGTCCCACGGCCACGGGCGTCAGTTTCTTAATAAACGTTTACATTTAATAAGCTTACATGTGCTAAAACATGGTTAAACATACATATAAAAACAAATTAATGGCAATAACTACACTGTATTTTAAATAACATTATCTCTCTAGAAGGAGCTTGATGAACCCTCACCATATATGAAATGGAATAAAAGAGTTATACAATATACCATTTATTTAAATCAAAAATAAAATACGATGCAAATTAAATTATTTCACAGTATGTACACAACAGCTTTGACATTACTGTTACTTTATATTTATTCTTTTGACAAAGCATTAATACAAAGTAACCATCTGGCTGACTCATCACTTAACCTATTTCTATGTTTTCTAATTACTAATGATGCTTTAGAAAATAATCTCTCAGCAGGTACTGAAGTTGCAGGTATTAAAAGAAAATCACGGGCCATCTTCTATAAAATCGGATATTTTGTCTCATGCGTCCTCCAACAGCCTAAAATGTCTTCCGAGATGACGGCTCTGGGTTTACCTAGGTACCCCTCCAACTCCTTAATAACTAAGCCTTGAAGACAAGATCGAGATCCATTTTTACACATTTCAAGTGTTTTAAAAGTGCTATGGTGTCAACCATATTTATCAAATGTGTGACGACATATTCGAGCACTTTGTGTTTTAAAAACACACACTCGCAAAAGTCGAGATTTGCAGTGAACTTACTGAACATGTTCATCTTTTAGGTAATAATAATAACAATAATAGTAAGTAATTATTATAAATCCATGTAGTTAATTTTATAATAATTACTTACTAGAATAAATTATTATGATACCTACCTATTATCTAATTACAAGATTTCTTGCGAGATCAGGATAATGTATTCGTGTCCATTCTGAGCACCCGGAAACTTATTTTATTCTTTGAAACATGTACTCTGTGGCGGCAATCAAACAGTGTCAAATGT